TAGCCCTAATCCCAAATCTAACAAAAATTTCCCCAAGAACCCTAAGGAAACGACTTCATAACCAAGAGAAGCACATTACTAGAGAGGAACGATTAAACAACACAAGAACTCCCTACCCCGCCCAAAGACAAGAACACTCTAAGCGAGAATCGATTGACAAATCTAACAAAGTGGAACTAGGAGCTCTACTAAGAGAGAAAATCGCCATTTGAGCGAACTCAATAATTATTATTGAGACCGACTGTGTGAATCAAAGAAAGCATAGGATCCTACTGTGTGAGTGTATGTAAGGAATAAGGATTTCCACTTCTCGAATATATCGATTAATCGAGTCGACATGAATACCACAAAAACTACAGTCAAGTTGCCGATTGACCCCCGTTTGGATCCATCGGATTTGCACACAAACGAATTCCCCAGGTCCAATGAAGCTTATTCGGACAAACCGCTCCTAAACACGGCCTCCAAAAAACGTCGTTCGATGGGGTTCGGGGATCGTCAAATGGGTGATTCACCACAGCAGACTACTACGACTCCAGCCTGCCCTGTCTCTCCTAAGTTGAGTTTTCGGGACTTACTGAATAAGAACCGACCACATGTGAGGGTCACTCCAGATGATGAGGAGAAGAACACCTTGGGGGCAGGTATCACGGTTATACGAGAGGGCCGTTCAGGGAAAATCCTTTTCTCTGACTGTTTTTGGAAATCTTTGTTGCAAGATTGGAAATATGCAGTGGTGGTGAGACTCTTAGGCCACTCCATCTCCCCTTTGACGATGCATAACCGTCTATCATCACTGTGGCCTTCGATTCGTGGGAGTCCAATGATGGACTTGAAGAATGGATACTACGTGGTTCGTTTTGACACATCTGAGGAACAATTACGTGCACTAACTGACGGTCCATTGGTGATTGCCGATCATTATCTCCACGTCCAACCATGGACGGTGGACTTTGATGCTAGTGACCTTAGAATACAGTCGGTTGTAGCTTGGATCCGTCTCCCCGGGCTCTCTATGCAATTTTATCATAACCAGGTCTTCCGCTCGATTGGTCAGATTGTGGGCAAAGTAGTGAAAATTGATTACCAAACCGCGGCTAGAATTCGGGGCAAATATGCTCGTCTAGCATGTCTTGTGGACCTTACCCAACCCCTCGTTTCGGATTTTGAGATTGGCGGTAGGGTTCAACGGTTTGAGTATGAAAGTTTGTCAAATATTTGCTTCACGTGTGGAAGGTACGGACACGCAGAGACAATGTGCCCAACGTCAGGCGAGTCAAGTGAGGGCCAATGGAAAGGACCTTCAGATCCCATAAGGGCGCCCGATGGCAGGGAGAGAAGGACACAATCAGACCCAAGCCCACCTGTGCCACAAACGGGACCAGGACCATGGATGGTGGCACAGAAACGGACACGGCCTTATGGTCGGGCATCAAAACCGTATACGGAATCTTCGATTAAAACCAAATGAGGTACTTCGAAATCAGGATCGCGTTTTGATTATTTAAGAGTGGATGAGGAGAGTGACAAAGTTGAGCAGCATGGGGGTGCAAAGGGGGATTTGGTGNGGGGGCCAAAGGATTGAAGACTCAAGGGGAGAGATAAAGGCAAAGCTATATCTGTAACACCCCGCTCATCAGAGTAAATTTTTCGCAACTTTTACTTCGAAAATACTTATAACTCTTTCGAAATATTTTGCGACTAACTCGAGATGCTACTCAAACTCATCTTCTTGAAAATCCGTTTATCTTTAAACTTTCTGTCTAATACTTTTCTAGACATAAAGAAAACAGATTTCCTTTAAACTTGCATTTAACTGTACCATATTCATACTTCTCGAAATGGTATAAACTTGAAATCTGAAATTTATTAAAAATGCAAGTTCAATACTTAATGTGCATAGCGGAAATACTTAAAAACGTGGTTTATTATACAGACATATCAAATACTTATTAAATGTCCACTTGAAATAAGTGCACGACCACCACCACCACATCTCGAGCTCACACCTCCGGCCCGACCCTGTTACTTGAAAAACACAATGGGGGTGAGTACTGATCCTCTTGTACCCCAAAAAACACCCATACTAAAGTAAACAACAATAATAATACAATATCATGATCTTTGATATATATCTGGACTGGAATTCTGTTCCAGTAACTTAAACTGAATCTGGCCGATATCTAATCGGATACTTGTGCACAATCTGATGGATATTTCTAAGGCAACTAATGGCCTCCATCAGAACTTAGGATGTACTGATAAGGCAACTAGGAGCCTTCATCCCAAGCGTATAAACTTAAACTGTATACATACCTCGAACATGATATCAATATTATACTCATTGTAATACCCAGTCTGGGTCCTCACCTTTCTTCTTTTGAAAACTTTTGAAAAATGTAAGTGTTGCTCTTGGTAGCTATATCTGCAAGCTACATAAAAATATAAACAAATATACTAAGTACTATGCTCGTATACTCAATAAGATTTAACTCTTACTTATCCGAATCTTAAAGATATTTAATAAACTTGCATTTTCTCAAGTTTATACTTAACTTCTCTTTTTACTTTTACTTAAGGTCAATTACTTAACCTTATAAATCATGTCTTCATAAACATCAATATGGTATTATACTTAGCATATCCTAACTCAAATGTGAAAATAACTATATTTCACATTATACTTGATTGAGTATTTAAACTTAAAACATGCTTACTTTTTTACCAACATCATCAACATGATTTATAACTTATCTTAATTTAACTTGATCAAATACTTAATTCATTATACATCATATCTCCCAATTTTTAGATATTGGCTTATACTAAATTTTCACTTAATTAACTTGAAAGTGAAAATAATCTCAAGCCATAATCATCTTTTACTCATAACATTTAATCATAATGTTAATATGTCATACTTAATACAATCTTTATAAAATTGTATACTCAACATATTATACCAAAACTTCCTCAAATTACTCATCACTTATATGAGAATTATTCATGATTATCTTCTTTAACAACTTAAACATTTCCTGAATATTCTTGCATATATATACTTATCTTTACATATATGCCTTCTTATATTCATAACTTATTCATTTCTCATCTTTAAATTACGAAACTTAACAGTCATAATCTTAACTTATAATTAGACATGTCATAAAAATTTCATAATTTTATCATGCATATATCTCGTCTTATTCAAGTTTAAAGTTGCTGCTGGAAACAAGTACATAAAATTCAGCTTGCATGATAAACTTTAAAAATTCATATCTTGAGTTATACTAAACTACATGACTTAATTTTTGATCCTATGTACTCCTCTTTTACACATGAAATAACCATAGGAACAGATTTTTCATAGCTAGGTAAAAATCTCATCATAACTGAACACATATAACATATATATAAACTGGAAATAATTTATCTTCTAGCATGCTTATACTCATATAAAATTTTAATATCTAAGTCCTATAAAAACATTATTAAACACTTAATATCATCTATTAAACATGTTAAAAAGATAGCATCTTACCTTCTTCTTGCTTGAAAATCTAAAGTTGCTCCTTGACTTCTTCAAAAATTAAAACTTTATTATTTTTATTTTTATTTTTCTCTCTCATTCTATCTTTTTGATGAAACTATGATGATTTGAGAAGATACTTGATGATAAAATCTGATTGAAATACCTCTATTTATAGCCATGAATGAGCTTTTGGTAGATAAAACTTAGTCCACCAAGTTTAATAAAATTCTCATCTATTTGTTGAAAAAAATGCTAACTTAAAGACTTTGAAAAACTTTGTTGTGATTTTCTCATCTCATTCTCACCAATTGATGACCAAAATTTCGTGCTTAATGTGATGTAATTGATTCCATATATTATTGAAAAAATGTCACCATTCATCATATAAAAATCTTTGGAACAAAATAATAAAAATAATTAAAATCATCCTTTTTTATTACTTATGCATTTTCTTTCAAAATGGCTGATTTTTAAAACTCTTTATTGAAAAGTAATGCTCATATATGGTCTTGGATCATGCTAATAAACCGAGAATAATACAATTTACGGAACTCAATTCGGACTTAAAACGAACGTTTATCGTAAAACTGAAAATTCTAAAATTTAAATCCTTTACTCACGGTTTTTCTTCAATTTAATGAATATATTGCTTCTTAATACAATTATCTTGAAATATTCTACATTTACCGAACCACATTCGGACTTAAACCGAACGATTACCGTAAAACCGAAAATTCTAAAAATTTCAGTTTTTGTTAAAATAATTTAAATAGACTATAATGTCTAAATAAATTTTCTCACTTCTTTGAACATTTATCACTTAAATGTTCATAGATACTTAACCGCACTTCTAGACTTAACATGTCTCAATTTGTGCTAAGGCTCGACTATTACTTAATTAAGACTCAACTCATGACCGAACATACTTGGGTTCAGTTCACTACTTATCTTAAACGATTAATCAAAATATACTCAATTTCGATTATTCGTCATCTTATATTAATTAATCCCGTCTTATAAATCTGTTTATAAAAATAAACAGACCGGAATTAATTATTACTGAACTGGCTCGATTACTGAATAATATTAAACCGAGAATACTTTCGACTTAAAGTCGAATTTTTAACTGAATAACTTAATAACTGGCTCGGAACTAGGAACAAGCATTAATAAAAGTAATTAGTTCATACTCAGAATAATTACTTTTATTAATTACTGAATGGGATATTACAATATCCACTCAGGTGTTGGGAGCTGGTAAGGGTGTTTCAAACGGGTCTAAGGGATTCAGCGGGAAAAACGTGATCACCCAGGGTGTGAGTGGTATTCTGGAGCGGGAGAGTGAAACGAGGGGATGAAAGCTTCAAGTTCAGAGGGGCCAAAGCTCTACTACGGATGATGTAGTCATGATCACCGCTCACACCAACCTTGACTCTTCACGGCACCAAGCCGTTCAATTCGTGAGTACCACTTCGTAGGAACACGCAATGGTGGTCAACTCGCAGTTGCCAGCTCGAACTACCACATCCATACAGAAAGAGCCCCTTGATGTTGTGTCTACACTTAATATGGAGCACGTTACGAGTATAGCAGACGAAGATGGAAGTATGGCTCTGGATGTCGGAAGCTGTTGTAGCACAAATTATTATTTTTACCGAGTACCGAATCGAAGGATTCGTTCCCTGGGTCGATCTCTCAAGGAAGGCGGTTCGGAATTTAGCTTCGGTATTGATTTCACACAAAAAGAAAATAAATCCTAAACACTTTAATCAGATAGCAGATTGGATGAATTATTAACTAAGAAATAAAATAAAACAATAATCTACCTAAAAATATAAACGGAACAAAGATAGAGAAGCTAGAGAATCGGGGATAATTTATTCAAGTTCTTAGCAAAACCGGGCAATCAATTGTTCGGTTCGAGATTAACACTCTCGCTTAAACATCTAGCAGTTCGCTCCCAATAACTCTTCGTAACAAGGGATTGAATATAGACGAACAAGCTCGAGCATACAACACAGGCCAATTATCCCAATCCCAATAACTTTTCGTAACAAGGGACGGGTCATCGACAAGCACGTATTTCAATCTCAACCCATATATTATTCAGTTACGAAATTATCTATCTCATGCAAGCCTAGGTCTACGACTTCTCCCCTTTCGGTTCAAAAAGTCGCTAATTTAATTAGAAGGTGTTTAATCAACTAATCATCGAGAATCAACAAAACCAAACTCGACAACTCAATATCCAATTGTTACTAATTGCAAGATCGAAATGTCACCCTTCAATTACATCAAACTATCAAGCATAATTTCATCAATTCTGAATTAAATCAACTCACATAAGAACGAACAATTCAAGGCCCGACATATACACGTTAAACAAGAACAATCATCCCCTATCCCTAGCAATAAGAATTAGCTACGTAAAATAAACTCAACACCAATAATCATCTCTCCCAAATCAATCATTATTCATGAATTAATTCAAAGAGAAAAGAAACTTGTTGATATCCGACTTGATTACATAATTGAATGTGATGATTAATCACTTCATTGAAGAAATAATCTTCCGGAAGAAGACAAACTTAGGACAAGTCAGTATTCATTGAATTAATTACCGACTTCCGAGATCGTCAAAAGTACCGACTTTAGAGACAGACACAAATAAACCGACTTCAGTTCAACCGATATTATGACAAGTCGAATCAAGTTTTATCTGTTCAAATCGATGGCATAAAAGTTCGAATAATCCAAGCAGAAAACAGAGCTGTAAGAATGTGATTGGATCATCAAGATAATATAGCAATCATTGATGTTCCCTGATTTCGAAGCACATCACTTTGTTAAAGCTGCTCAACATTAAATACATTCTTATCCATCTCGAGCAAGAAGACAAAAACCACCGTACTATAAATAGCAGAATTTATGATAGTACGAGGATCTTTTTCCAACACATTGTATATGGACTTAAGATGATCTCGGTCAAGAATAAAAAAACCGACTCCTGTACTCTTGTGAATATATCAAATAAAATCAAATTTTACTTTAATCTTTGTTTAAACACACTCAGCTGTTTGTAATTTTAAGTTGTTAATTTCATACAACAACAGTTTGGCGCTAGAAGGAGGGCTTGAACCTCCGTCCTTCTTAATCTACGCTCGATTGTATGTGAAATTAATCACAATTTACAAACACATATAACTTATGATGTCGAGTTCTGGGCGACAAGAACGAAATTTAGAAGCTGGAACTAATCGCCACCCTGTGCGCACAAATGAAAATTCGACGGTGCCATCTATGCCGATAGATTACTCTGTTTTATTCCAAGACCCGGAATTTCTCAAAAATTTATCGAATTTTATGGCACAGACAAGAGCAGGACCAACGGTGACGATTCCAAATCAAATTCCCGCTCCAAATCATCCAATTAGACAACAAACGTCGTTTGTTCAGCGACACGATACTCCCACTGCATCACATGCAACTTCTCATCCCCAAGTACCTGAATCACAACGAAATACTACCACGCATAATCGCGGAGTAGTTCCTGTTCGAAGTCATGTTCCTGAAGCGGTCCAACAAGAAGTTACTGCTGAAAGTCATTCTGGACGTCGTCAACATCTCGCACGTTCATTGCTGGAAACTTCACAGCATGACCAACAATCTGATTTGCGTCATACGATTGAACAGAATCGATTCCGACGTGATAACAATGAATTACGTCATACAATTGAAAGAAATCGTTTAAGGCGTGAATCAGAAGAATTGGAAGTGTTGAGAAAAAGAATTGCCGAGTTGGAGACTCGCCACCATATTCCTGAAGAATCTCAACAAAGAGGCTCTCTCTCGGAGAATGTGTATTTGGAAGCCGAGACTCCCTTAGCTCTTCATTTGACAATGGAGCCACTTCCCTCTAAAGTTAAGGTTCCTCAGATTGGTCTTTATGATGGTACCTCGGATCCAGATGCACATCTTGGTCAATATACCTCGTGGATGGATCTTCATGGGGCAACCGACGCGCTAAGATGTCGGATGTTCTCTTTAACTTTGGGATCCCGTGCTCAAAAATGGTATCATTCGTTACCCCGACATTCAATATCGAGGTGGCAACAATTGAGAACAGCTTTTCGATCTCATTTTATCGGGGCTCAGGTCTCTTTAATCCCGAAAGAATCTATTGCCAATATCGTTCAAAAGGACAATGAAAGCATTAAGGATTATATTGCTCGGTTTAATGAACGAATACAAAATATGGAGCAATGCCATCCTGAAACGTTGCTGGTCACGGCTATAGCTGGATTGAAACCGAACTCTTTGTTTCGTTGGAGTATCTACCAGAATAAACCGACTTCATTTCAAGACTTCTTGGCACGAGCTCAGCAACACATTATTGCTGAAGAGTCAATGTCGGTTCCAACTTTCGATTTTTCTCCCAATAAGTCGGAAGTCGGACAAGAGTTAAAAAAGAAGAAAAACAAGTTTTTTAAGCCAAATCGGTCTCGGTTTGGAGACTCTAAAAAACCTGAAGTGCAAGAAGCAAGGGCTAAGTATCTTGAGGAGGTTAAATCCAGCTATCAGACAGTTTTTTCAGCTGGAGCCGCTGTCATATTTGAAGAAATAAAAGGAAAGGGAATTCTTGCTGATCCCCGTCCTGTGAGAACTCCAGAAGAGAAACTGGATAAAACAAAATATTGCTCATATCACAAGTCGGCAGGACATGATACAGATGAATGTCTGGGCTTACTTTCTGCCTTATTACGGTTAATTGGACATCCACAAGTCCAAAGGTTCTCCAAGAATGCGGATTATAAGCGAAAGGGCAGAATGCCAAAACCCCACGATGATGATGAAGACGATGATCGTCCAATCAATCCAAAACGTATTAGAAAAAGCGATAAAGAAGTCTACATGATGAACCCGAAGGAGAATGGATCTTCATCTTCAACAAAAAACAAAGAAACTCCACGAAAGAGTTGCTCTAAACCTCCTGGTTTCTGTGGTCTTCCCCGAGTTAATAATAGTAATGGCAAAACTTTCGAGTCACGTCGACAGATAAAAGCTTATGCTCGACAAGCTTACAACTCGGGAAAAGCTGTTATAACAACCGATCTCCGAGATAGGGTCAACGCTCGAAATAATTGTCCGATTACTTTTAATGTGGACGATGCCAGTTATTTCGCTCACCCACACTCTGATCCTCTCGTGATCACAGCACCAATTTGCGGAATACCGGTGCATCGGATAATGGTTGATACAGGGGCATATTCAAGCATTTTAATGCTTCGTACATTCGAACAGATGGGAATTGACCCAACCGAGCTGAAACCCTGTAAAGATCAAGTACAAGGCTTTAATGGAACAATTACACCAACTCTCGGAGAAATAACCATGCCAATTAGATTTGGAACTCCCGAACAGGCCTCCAAAGTCATCATGGAGACGTTTAAGGTCATGGATCTTAAAAATGAATATAATGCCATAGTGGGAAGGATGGCTCTATATAAACTCCATGCAGCTGTCTCAATTTTTCACTATGCTTTAAAATTTCCCAGAAATCATGGAGAAGGAACCCATTATGGAGATCAATACGAAGCTCGTGGGACAGTATGGGTCAAATCTTGGCAAGAACCGCATTCTTCGATACATATGACCAAGAATGTACAAGACAAAGAGGAGAAATTTCAAACTCCTGAGGACTCGGTATCCCCAATAACCGAGATGGAAATTGAACAGTCCAAGAAGTCGAAAGAGTCAAACATCAAACTCAATAGTGATTTGACTCGAGATTGTGGAAGACGTCCAGGGAAAGAACCAATCCATGAAGAGGATGAACTGGATCCTCGTGCTCAATTTAAAGAAAAAAGTAAACTTGATCGAGCTGAACCATCTGAAGAAGTTGAAACAGTTTTTATTGATGATCCTGTTTGTAACAAGTCGCTTCGAATTGGGGCTAACTTGGAAGAACCAATACGAACTCAGCTCATTCAATTCCTCAAGGTCAATTCAGATGTGTTTGCCTGGAAACATGAAGATATGAAAGGAATTGACCCCAATGTAGCCTCACATCGACTTAATCTCGATCCAACCATTAAACCAGTTGTCCAAAAACGACGTAAACTTGGCCCATACCGACAAAAGGCTCTTGAAGACGAAGTTCAAAAATTGATCAACAATAAATTCATTCAAGAAACTAAATATCCGACTTGGGTATCTAACCCTGTTTTGGTAAAGAAGAGTTCTGGAGCATGGCGACTCTGTATCGATTTTTCAGATTTGAATAAAGCTTGTCCGAAAGACAGTTATCCACTACCACATATCGATTACATGGTAGACGCCACTGCCGGACATGAGTTGATGAGTTTCATGGACGCCTACTCGGGTTATAACCAAATTCCCATGGATCCCGGGGAAGCAGAACATACATCCTTTTATTCTGCTCGGGGTCTATACTGTTATACCATGATGCCATTTGGTCTTTAAAATGCTGGGGCCACATATCAGAGATTGGTTAACAAAATGTTTGCCAAG